ACCACTCATATCGAAATCCACACATTTTGATCTGGACAATCCAGAGCTATTTTGAAATCCCATAATCCATCTAGATACTATGTGAATCGCTGAATGATTCGCATTATTCGCAACCTTTCTGTTCTCAGCTCCGCAATTTTATTTCAAAAAGTGAAAAACAAACCACGTTGTTACACGCACATTTCAAAAGCAATCACAATCAAGGCGAATCACAAAGACCTTCTCTCAAATAAACAATGATTCGAAATGACATTTCGATCTAGGCAACCTGTCTGTCCAAATGAAAATCTTAAATCAAATCGAATAATAACATGAGACTTCATGAATCTAGATCGACATTTTAGATAATAACATTCCTTTGAAATTAATTGCTCTAATCGACTTATATTAATGATTTCTAAATTTAGAATCATCTAATTCACATTCGTCATGTTTTTTGGTTTCCTAAAATAAAGGACATTAGTAAAAAGTTTGTGATATATATATTCAGAGGTGTTTCAATTTCTAATCAACCACCAATAACAAAAACTCGTAACATTTCAATGCTCACTTTATTAATTTGGCTCCATCCAAACGCTTCTTCCATTNCATCCTTTAAAGAAGATTCCATGAACTTTTTGGCGAATACATTCGCATGAATCCTCAAAATCCATGAAGTCCCCTCAGATCTATAGGATACATCAACAGAATAAAATCTGAGATCAACCCGTGAAATAAGATCAAGGAAAACTCTGCAGTTACAAAATTGTTTCATTTTTTCATCTTTACTTCGAAATATACAGCACACGTGATATCTATCCATTTGACGAGCTAACAATCCACAAGTAAAATAAGATTCGTGTGCAAGAAAGGCACTTAAGCATCTGAACACAATTTCGGAACTGAAATTTTAATAGAAGCAGATTTAATAGAACAGATTTACAAACAAATTCACTGCAAATCTTTGATAGTTTACAACAGATCAGAATAAAGTTACCCGAGAAAGCAAGCAATATACTGCCCTTCATCTGCAAAATAACCAAGCATCCGGGTAACTCATGATATCGGAATCCCAATCGACGGTGATTTCGAAGTATGTCTCTCTGTTCGAGTGTTATGAGAATCCGCAGATGGCTCAGGAATTAGTGTCTTGAATGAAGAGAATTGTCGTGGAGTAGGCACTGCCAGTGGATCTTGTTGCATCGATCTGGTTGATCTGCATGATGACCTCTGCGAAAGCGGATCGGCCCTGTAAACTCCGAACCTCGCATTGATTTCTACACAAAACTCCTCTTGAACTAGATCATAAGGCCGAATACGACTACATCTCGCTATCGTTACATCATCCGTATCGTTAGATTAGCTAGAATCCTTAACTGAGGATTGATTCTCGCTGTTTTCTTATTCTCAGGCCTTTTTGCTCCATCTACACGCTTCTTTCATTGAATTGTATTAATATTAATAAACTGAAAACTTGGCTATGTATCCAAGTGCGAGGCTGATCTCAAATTGAAGTAATTTCCAAAGTAAATCACAAATCAAAGTATTTATCATGCTTCCCACACAGAATAATTTATGGAACTAATGAAATTTTGCTCCTAATATCGATCGAGGACTGGATCGGAGGGCAGTTACTTAATTAAATGGATGATATTGCAACCGTAAGCATAAACTTGTTCACAAACCCGTCACTATGAAAACTCAACGTTCGCCGTGAGTGTTTCAAGTTTCTCTGCACAAGCATACAGCCATTGTCCAGGCGCGGAATTGTGAGAACACCGGTCATATCTGAAATATCCGATTGATCCCAAGGATTCTGATTTTTTTGACAACACCCTGACAACAGCTTCGGGCGAAATGTCGACGGAAATAACGCAAAAAACCCAACCGGAAGCCTGAACGTTGTTCGAATTCGTATGGTTGGCCTCAGGTAACGGTGTGGGTGCTATACTTGTCCGGACGGTCGTAGTTTGAGCTTCGGGCAATACCGAACGCAGTTGGCGAATTGCACGAGCCTCTCGAGTCAATTTTTTCCAACGTATGATCGCCTTCATGACGCTTGTGAACGATCTGTAATAGTTACAATAAATAATTATAGTAATAATAAATAATAATAGTAATAATAATAATAATAATAATAATAATAATAATAACAATAAGCAATAAAACAGTAATAATCACTTAGTCGTAAGCTTCTTTTCAATAGCATATCGAGCAATATTATGGCCCGACAGTCCATGCTCTATCAAATCAGCACCGATCTGTTCCTCATATTTGGTCATCCTGACGCCCAACGGAGATCGACTCAAAATCTGAAGTATTCCCATTATGAATGTGATGTGTATTACTGCATTATTTATCACGTTTAGCACAATTCCATTAAACTTTTTGGATATTATCAAGCAAACACTCACAAAAAGACAAGTTAAACACGTTAAAGTCGACCATACAGTAGTGGCCACAACGGCCAGCGCCTGTACTCCGAGCAAGTAAAATCCGCCTCCATACAATATCCCGTTGAAACCGCGAGTCAGATCGATCTATGATCACAATGATAATAATGATGATCAAAACTAATGAACAGCAACACTGATAACAAGGAATCACTATAATGATTACGAATGAAACATGATAATAGCAAATAACAGTGAGGATATTGATAATCATGTCTAACTCAAATCATTCACATTAAATGAACATTTAGTGTGAACGAAATGAACATCTGATGTAACATTTAATGCGATGTAATGGATCTTCAAAATCCATTTGTAATTGCATCACTTTAATATAATCGAAAATTGTGAAGTGGTATTGATCAGAAGAACCTCGCTTAGATCAAATGCCTTGACAGGAAACGATCGTTGAGGAAGCTTTTAGAATATGAAAATGTCCAAAAATTGCATCGATCCTTGAAGCAAGTGGCGCTGACCTGATTTGGATCATGTTTTGCGAAAATGCCCACACATAACATGCCCCACATCGGCGCTACCACATGGACAGGTACCACACCAACGGGATCGTCAATTTCGAGACGCTCCATTAGAGGGTATGTGGCCAGAGCTAGTGCAGAGCCAACGCAACCGATCACTAAACTTTGCATTGGTGTGACACACAAGCAGATCGCTGCAAATTTTTCTCATTCAATCAACAAATACAACAACTCATTACTTAATGCCTCTATCTTATCAAGAATATCACAATTGCCATATTCTTCCTTCGTTGACTTCTTTTTTGTTTTCCGCGCAGCTAACGATATTAGCGCAGAGAATCATCTGTCCTCATGAATGTCTTCATTTTATGGCTTTCATGAATGATCGCTCTCCAGGAAGCGATTTATCAAAGCCAAGGGAACGATAACTGGAGGTTTTCAGAGAATCATGTGTATTACATGAGCACTCAAAATGCCTCAAGAAAGCAGCTTCACACCTGTTGTTGAGACAAGAGAAGCCAAAAGACCATCAATGAGAAAGTTCACTTGACATTTCTTCGTGGCTATCATTGAAATCACTATCGACGTACATCCGCCACCCACTGAACTTAGAATAGTTGCAACGGCTGACCTGAAATTTAGAGAAGACCGTCAAAAATACAGGCAGATCTTATCCCCAGATCTGTTATTCACTAGTCATGCCATTTCTCTTCATTTCATTTTAAAAAATTTAATTGGGGCTTATTGAAGTGAACTGGTAATCACGTATGGAATTTCAATGAAAACATCAGAAAGTCAATGTTTTGTTTAAGATAGTTGTGTCTTTCGTTCTCTAGGCTTTCGCTTGATTGTGTCAACTCCCATTTGATAGATTTTAAGATCAATTCCCAATATCTCTGCTCATATATAGACTATCTGATTATAAGCTCAAATATTAAACTCAAGCCATTAATGAAATTATGATATGATTATGTCATACTTCATATAAACCTTTTTACAGTATGATATAGTAGGATAGTCTTTTCGCTCAATACGATTCCATATTTGTAGTCATGTAGAAATAGGCTTCTCGTTTCTAGTTGATGGCATTTATTTTCACGGAGTTATCAGTTAATAAAATCTTTCTTTCTCAGATTGCATGAGATTTGTCTCAATATTCCATG